TAATGACCTGAGTAATTTTTCAAGTAAGAAGTGTGGTTCGCGCATAATTACAAAAATGTATTGATGTTTCACATCAGTTCGATTATAAGTGTCACAGTTCGCTAACATCTACGCATTTTTTCGTATCAGCTTATTTTATACCGGTGCAGTGATTGCATCGCGAGACAAGACAAATTAACGTTTTTTGAAATTTTAAAATGATATCATGCATTTGGCCAGGAATATGTATATATCCATGTATACATTTTCAACCGTAAACTATTCTGATTATTGAATTTGTGAAAGTGTTTTTCTGAAAGCATGTTATTACAATACTTACATGTAGTTATATGTACATATATAGGTATGTGTGATCAAACGCAAAAGATGCGCTTGGTCGCTCATGTTTATACACCGAAGTTAAAGTGCAAACTGTTTATAGCTACATATATGCCAAAATATATACATACCTACATATATGGCGTACATAGCAAAATTACTAGCGATATATATTTTTAGCCAATTATGCCAAGTTTATGGAATGTTTAATATAGCATCCACTTATCTTCGTTTGCATGTGTTCACTAAATTTTTTTTCACCAAATTGAAGTAAAAGTGAAATTTTAAATACAAAGTGCTTTATAAATTCACATACACTGTTCAAAAAAATTTTAGAACTCAGAACGTTCAGAACAATCAACATAACAGAAACAAAATCACGACCTATAGACTGACCTTTTTGATAAATACATATTTATCATTGTATATGAATTGTTTTTTTAAGTAAGTTTCCATCATTTACAGAATTTGGAAATCCCAAGCTATCAATTTTTGTAGTCATGTAAGTACAGATCTTAGTTCAACTATAATCTTACGTATTATATGAATACAATTGTTTCAGAAAACATATAGGTAGTTTGTGTAGATAATATATTTTTGGTAAACACCTACACCATCGTTTACTACGATTAGTAAGGGCAGAAATAAAATTCAAATGTATTTGAAAATATGGACCAGTATAACGATTATAAGTAATGTATGCTTTCAGATTATCTTTATGATGGCACACTATATCTCGGTATTTAAAGCTTTTTCGCAAGATTTAATCACAAATTATATACAATACATTACGAGTATTTCTCTAACCTCTCTTAGCCTCAACTGTGTGTCATCTAACTTTCAAATCACTAATAAGATTTGTTTCTGCATTTTTCATATACCACATTATTTTCTTTAATAATACTCACTCTTCACATGCTTTCAATAGTTCCAACTTTGCCATTGTCAATGGCTATGAATGCTTGACAAATCGTTATATAAAATAATTTATTGAATCTTGCATTTCGATCGGATGCGAATTTACATATGTATGTCTATGTTTGCGATTGCTACAGATGAAAAAGAGCACTTTTACTTTTACTTTTGTTTTTCAAAGAAAGCACAAATTTTTGCATTACAATGTATTTCATAACCAAAAGATAACATAACCGCAGTTTCAGTACTTCTTAGTGGATACTTAATAGGTATCTAATTCGTCTGTCGTTATTTTAGGGACACTAAATCTATCGAGTTCGTAGATGGCTATTAAGCGAAAACTTATAAACTAAGCCATAACTAAGAGCGAAATTGTGATATAGAACTGTAATTTCGCACAGGGGATCGCTGTAATAAGAGGCACCTTTGGTCTGAAAATTTAGAATTTTGGCCCTGATCTTTAGTAGGCTTAATGTAAATATCTCATAAGCTAAGCCACTTAAGCTTCAAAAATTAAATTCGCTCATGGTACATTTTTTAAGCTTCCGTATCGACACTATAAATAGAGAAATCGGAGAATCGGATCGGTCCACTCCTTAAATAACGGAGCTGTTAAAAACTACAAAAAAATAATACGAAAGAGACATTTACACCCCAGTTAGTATAGAAAGGGTTAATAGGAGCCGGGATAAAAACTGGATGATGGGCGTGTAACCGCTCACTTTTAGGTGAAATCACTAAATTTCGTACGTGACATTCTCCTCATACAGATCACGCCTACTTCCCATATAACACAATTTCAAATTTCGTCTGATTTTTTCCTTTCCTTTGTACAAGTCATGAAGCAATTAATTTAACGGGATAAAACTTTGCACAAGACAAAGGGCGAATGGCATTAGAATATGCCAAGGAAAATGGTTCAGGCCCTTAAGAACGAAATGGTTGAACTCCAGTACCTATAGTTGACTTTTTACCACATACATATATCGGTCAATGTGTGAGTTATATAATTGAAATATAGAAATAAATCTTTCCTGCCAATAATCTGTGTGTCAAGAATGGGTTGACTCGGGCAATGCTTCCATTACTCCCAAATACCTAATACAACGATTTTCGAACTTCCAGGAGACTTTATACCGTATATATCGGTCACATGTAAGTTTTCTCATTGAAAATGGTATGAATGAGGAATTAATGAATCTCAGGGAACATTTTATTAGTATATGACATTATGTGCAATTTTTTGAAGTTGCAAGATAATAAAATATTCGGCTCCACACGGACTTAAACCTTTCATTATGATGGAAGGATGACATTATTTAATAACTGATATTTTTATTATGAGATAATTTTCACCGCACAAATAGACTAATAGAATAAAGTCGCATGATTTAGCTGGGCAAGTCAATTTATAGTAGCCAAAGTTTACGTATTATTTTAAATGTAAAAAAAGTCGATTGACATAACTACTATTACAAAACTAAGTTCTAAAAAACTTATTTAACAGGTCTGATAAACAAAATTTCAGTTTATAAATACAAGATTGCGTAGATACGAAACGTTCTCAACAACAGAACCAATCCTAATCAATCAGTTAGGATAACTACATATAATAAAAACTTTGTACAAATATTTCTAGAATTATTAAAAACAACTACTAAACTAAACTATAAGCGGCATCATAGGTAACATCGCCAGCTTTTCTGTTCAGCAAGACAACATTATGCATTCGCATAAATTAAATACATGTGACTCAACGGGTAGCGTTTCATCAGTAGAAAGACCTAATGCAGGCGCATTGGCATTGCACTATGCCGCAGCACGCGGCTGTTTAGACTGTGTACAATTGCTTGTTGGAGCATCAACAGATATATGGTAAGATCCTTCGAATTTTCTTATGCACATATTTTATAAGTATACATGTGTATATATATAAATTACACATAGTATATCAACATATGCATATATACGTATACATATGTATGTGATCTGACTTACACATTCAAAGTATCGACACAATTATAACTAAATACATTATCAATTATGGTGAAAGTTATTAGTTTAGCATGAAATTATTTATAATTATCGCACAAAGGGGGTTAGTGACAAAACAGATTAACAAAATAGATTTATGTATATGTATTTCAATAAGCATAGTATAAAAATGGTGATTGAAATAGATTCAATAATTATTTCAAAATCTAAATATTAAATCAGTTTAAAGAAAAAACGGACCATTAGATAAACTTACTCTATGTAATAAGTAATATGAGATAATGAGTAACTTGGGATAATACATATACAAATATGGGAAAACTTTATTTAAGATTGAGAAAGAGATGTGTACGTATGTATATGATATTGTTGTTTATGATCAGACTTTAATTTGAGATTCGAACAGTGCTAATGATTTTCTCAACTATTCGTAAATTCATTTCGGGGGGTTTAGAGATCAATAAGAAGTATAATTATGCAATTTGGATTATGGATCTTTCCCCACGATATGTGTAACGGTGAACTAGGAATTAATTGATTTATGTCATGGTGATAATCTGCTGTCATTCAATTATTTTTGGTAAAAGTGTCATCATATTGATATATGTTTGCATATTAACATATATATGAATTAAAGTACATATTTAAAAGATGAAATAAACCTTTGACTTTGGTTGATACTCATTGATTAGTAACTAGTAGAACTGCTGAATTCAAATGTGACCACAACAGCTACCAATGGAATGTAGGTAAATTAGACTATCTCAGAGAACAACATTTCTCTATTACACTTTACATACTCAGTTATAATAGCACATGTACATATGAATTAAGAAAGCTGGATAAAATACAAGCAGCGGAGAATGTTACCCAACTCGAGCGATGTATTCATGTATGAGTTGTTCGTATCTCTGGCTTTGGCGTTTGACTGCATTTGACTGTATCAAATGTGTTGTATTTGAGTGCCATCGAGTCGGCTGCAAGGCTGCGGAAAGGTGCACAGCGCTCTGACCAGCGTTGTGCTGCTTTAGGTGCACCGACAAGCAACGGGTTTCTTGAGTGCTTCGCTTGGTAGTGACTTACATTTCTGTATTCGTTTTTAGTGTCTTGAAGTAAGCGGTAGTTCGTTTGGACTCAGTGGTCACGGTTTATGTTTGGTTGAATAAGATAGAAAGGCAGTCGGCCGTGGCCAGTTTTCGCGTGTAACAGAAACGGTTTTATTTCTACTGATTGCTTGCTTTATCAACTGTAGGCTGCACGTTGTAAATATATTTTGTTCGGCTATTCGGTATATGCACGGACTTTTAAGCATATTAATATCTCTTTAAATAGCGTTCGTAAATGCGGTTGGTAGATCCAAAGTTATTTTATTGATATTGTGTAAAGTTGAAGCGGTTGGATTTGTGAGACGTTCTCTATTGTTTACTATGCTCTCCTTCTTCTAAAATTAACAGATTCTTGGCAACTAAAATGTTGGAGCCTGTTATTACTATTATTTGAAGATCATCGAACCGAAACATGTTTTAAATGCATATTAATGCTGAAAATATAATAGATAGTAAATACTACTTCCACGAATAAGTGTACAAACATTAAAATGAAAAGGTACAAAAACTTATATCACATGATACCTTTTGCAATTTCAATTGGCCTAAGACACATACATACAAATATCATATATGATATTATTTTAAATATGTAAATAAATGTTAGACTTTTAATATACGTATGAATGCACTTACGTATACATACATATAAATACGTTTGTAACACTAATCATAAATCGTTTGTGAAAATATGATTGAGAATTAATTTATACGAGTATTGCTTTACTTATGTACTTTTCACCATTATTGAAAATTGTTAACTGCTTCAAAACTGCAACTTTCCTGTCAAACTGTATATAAGTACATATCTTAATATAACTAGATATAAAGTATTAACGTAAGCTATTTGTTTTTGTTTCTCATTTGTGTTGGAACATATGTACCATTATTCGTACAAATGTACGATCAAGTTGCTACAAGAATGGAATCTGTAGTAAAAACTTACCAAAAAAAATACACAAAGAGTACGATCTAAGAAAATGAGAGCGGTAAATACAAGTATATCCAAGTGTACGTAAGAAGCATCTATAAGAAAACTTGCATTTTAAGACTGAGCCAGCCAAAGAAATTATTCACCTGGTTGTGAAACCGGGCCGAGCTGTTTCACCTGATGCGCTGGAGCTTTTTAACCATTCACTGCGCAAAATCCGAGCAGTAATGTTGCGCATTCTATAATTTAACTAAGTTAACTGCTATGCAGTGATATAGTTAGTAAAATGATAATTTGCAAGAATTTTATGCTTGTATTATTAACCACGAAAATTGAATAATTTTAATTACTGTGCTTAAAAGTTAATGCGCCCAAACTGTGTCTACGAAATGTTAACACAAATATATATACACTTGTACTATGTTTGTTTAAATGTTAAGTAGTGCGAAAGTTCAATGTTCATCGATTTTTCCTTGCATATATACTTATGTATGTATGTATATATGCGCAATAATAATTGTGTGTTATTGTGAAAGTTGTCAAAGAAAAGCAATGGAAAGTGAAAACGGTACTTTCTTAGTATAATTACATAGGATTATTAACTGATATAGTGAATTAAATTATTGAGAATTAATATCCTTATTATTAGTTCAAAATTCAAGGCATTATATGGAACATAAAGAGCCCATATATATGTATTACTTTAGTTCAACGCAGTTTTTATACTTAAAACTTACTTTTAATACCTTCTCATTCATTTGTATTTATAATATTCGTTGAATTGAAGGATTCAAAAGCCTTATAACTAAATAAAATGCACATTCTAATCGAATGTCTCTCTCTTAACGATTCGTTTGCTATATTATGACAACATAGTTACTTCTCTACAATCAGTGGTAGAAAAGGCTTTTTCGGTAGGATGACCACTAGTTTCACTTCCTACCGTCGTAGCAAAGTAAAAAGTAAATCGAATAACGACATTTCTTCTATTGTTGCTGAGATGAACGGTGTTAGTGGTATATCAGATAGCTTAACTCAGCACATATCTAACGATGATATCTCAGATTTAGCTGAAATAATGGACACAACTGTGCGAAAAGACATCAATCTCTCCAGTGAAGATGTAGCTGTTGTACGCAAAGAACATAATAATCGACGCAGCGTTGTAAGGTAAGCCACATTTCAACGTAACATGTCAGTACTTAAAATCTGTTGCTAAAACGAATAATTCCATGATTCCGAGAACTATGTATATTGATATTCAGCATTCGATCCATAAAAAGTTGCTGTCTTAAGTCTTTTGTACAGTGTTGTCTTCGTTATATTGATATGTACCTTTGTTCAATAACAAAAGAAAGAAGGATATCTTTGTCACTTTAAAAGCATTTTCTAACATTATTTCATTTGAATATAAATGAAAGCAGAAAAAAAATAATATTATAAACGACTTAATTAGTACGGAATTTAAGTGTTCAATCGATATCTTTTCTCAAACAATACGAAATATATTTATAAATGTTTGAAATTTTTTATTTGATTGGTCCCATTCATGATATCTAAATACAACACGCAACTTGGATCGTTGAGATATCTGGCTGGTCTCAGTCTCTCATTCCGCAATAGTTATGATTTTATTCTGATAAATCTTCCTGACCGACCTCATTAGGCGGATCGCTCTGTTTAATTACGTTATGGAGAAAGTTTAAAATTTTAGAGTAATTTTGCAAGTACATACATAGCAGTGTGAGAACATGATTTACTTCAGTTATTGTGAACAAAATCAGTCAGACATGGTATAAACATCACTAAATCAGCAATTTGTTTAATGTGAACACTATCATTTAATTATACATAACTTTAATGACTTAAGTCCAAAAATATAAAAATGGAAATTTTTTCAAGTATTTGTGTATTAATACGAATTTCTTTTCAATTTATTCCAATGTTAAAAGTATAAAGATTGTTTTCAAACAATTTGCATATGTGCCGTATTGTCTGTTCATATTTTATTACTTATGTGCTAAAAATGTTTTAAGATCTGAAACTATTTATAAACTATAATTGGAAAGTATTATATTTTTTCGCTTTATAAGCCTGGTTCCTCATCAGTCCATTTCCGCGTACTTCATTCATTTCTAGGTTTTTTTTTTATATAAAAAAATTTCCGTTAAAAGTGCCTGTATAGATATTAAAAAAACAAAACAAAAAATCGTAATACCAGTTTCTTAAAAAATATCCCACGAAAAATGTCAGTTTATTTAATCTTTAACTCCTCTGAAATAGAGGTTTTCTGTAAATATAGGAAGCAGACCTCCCTGACGGATATTGCCTCCCCATTCGAGCAATTCGTCAAATTGCGCCATTTTTTGTCTACTGTTTTAATATATGATGTGTACTAAATGATCTATTCCACGTTGCCTTTCATGAAACGGCGCAGAAACTCTGTCTGATTGGATTAAAAACTTTGAACACTGCTAAGAAGTGTTATGACCGTTATATTCCTCATGCCGACTTTAACTCTTGAACACTTCCGTCTATTGTGATACTACTTCTGATGCATTATACTTATAGGTTCAATTAAAGGTGTTATAACCATAAATATATAAAACAGTTGATCGAACCAACTTTACGGGCAACACAGTTTCCAATTACTGGTTCCCACCGTAATTCCAATTGAATTTTGGTTATGGGTGTGGCGTTATGGTATCTCTCTAGTTGAAACTTTTGGTGGGCAAAGTCGACTAAAACGTTGATATTTAAAGAATTAAATTGAATAAATTGTTATTATTGTAAATTGGTATGAAAAGTCAACCGCAATTGGGATAATTTGTAATGGGTAAGTAGGTACTAATGGAATATAATAACCAATCTTTCGAATCAGTACCTTTGCTTTTTCTTAAGTTATCTATAATTCGATTCAATTGAATTGAAATTCTTTTATAAGAATTGTATGCCAAAAGGTGGTGCTGCCGCTACCTATTCAAATTTTTGGGCAAATCCATAATTACACTTTCCATACAACATATTATTATATACAATATCTTACTAGACACGAGTCTTACAGAAAGTAAAATAACGGAATTTGGTGAACTATTGACATAATTTAAAACCTCGTATATTTCTTTCCTTTTCCCCTATGTGATTGTTTTTTTTTTTTGTAACTCGGTCGCTAACAAAGATATAGCGCCTTATTTTATGTTTAATTAACACTACTTTGAGAGATGGCAGTGGTGTGATGTTAATAATTTGCAATAAAAACGTCAGCTAAATGCCAAATTCTAAATGATTCCATGGTTTATCTCAAGGATTGACAGATAGACTGATGTACAAACAGGTATTGCGTAGGGCACTTTGCTTATTTTGATCTATATAACTATATATTTCTACATATCGATTATTTGAAAGTGACACAATCAAATTTTAAGTTAATAAAGAAGTGCAAATGTATTTATTCTCATCAAATGCGAACTATAATAAATTTAAAATTAAAATAGTTAAGCATTATTTTCACTTTATCCTTTATAGCGCGAATACCCAAATGGACAATGATGTCACACCGGTCTACTTGGCAGCGCAAGAAGGGCACTTAGAGGTGCTAAAATTTTTAGTGCTTGAAGCTGGTGGTTCTCTCTATGTACGCGCACGCGACGGTATGGCACCGATACATGCTGCTTCACAAATGGGATGTTTGGATTGCCTCAGATGGATGGTAAACGTATTCATTATAATTTTTTAATATATTTACTTACAGTGGCCATAAACGACCAATCGGGGTAGCCGTCTGTGCTATATATTTTTCTATTATATAACTAAAAATGCACTATTTTACATACATATTTGTATACTAAAACTTTACTTAACTTTGCATATACACGTACAAAGGTGCAGGATCAGGGTGTTGATCCAAATCTACGAGATGGAGATGGTGCTACACCACTACATTTTGCCGCGTCAAGAGGACACCTTTCCGTGGTACGATGGTTGCTTAAACATGGGGCAAAACTATCATTGGATAAGTACGGCAAGTCGCCCATTAACGATGCAGCAGAAAATCAACAAGTAGAGGTGAGATCTTGTTCTTTATGTAGAAATTTAATTAAGGTCTCTTAATATCATCACTCTTCAATTAAACATGTTTCTTTATTTATCTTTATTTTCTCTGTATCTCTGGCTATTCGTTAATTCAAGTGTCTTAATGTGTTAGTACAACACGGTAGTACAATAGACTATGGTTGTCGGGACAGGAATACACAACAACGACAGAAAACTTGTTCATTATCGAATAAGGAATTTCAAGAGATGCAAAATTGCAGTTTCAATAGAAGTGATGGAGGTAACTGTATCAACAACAGCTCACACGGAAGCTTTAACTCGAATAGTAGTAAGCAGACTAGTTGCAGTAACACAATTAAATCGAAGACATCTTCGTCTATAAGCTCAGATATTGAGCCCTTTTATTTACATCCACCACCGATCTCTATGGCCCATAAACGTATTGAGGCCATTTATGCACACTCTCAACAATCGCGGTCATCTTCTGAGAAATTATACAATGGGCAAATGGTGCCTAATGATGGCTTATATGTCAATCCAATGCGTAACAGTTTCTTTACTCCTCCTTCCCCGACTGGCAGTGTTTCTGGAGAATCATTTTTTCTCCACGACCCTCACGAACTAATTTATAATCGAGTTCGGGAGCTGTTCGATTCCGATTGCCACAGTGCTGGAAATTTAAAACCGAAAATGAATCGCCACAAAACTAATAGTCATAACAAAATACATAAATCGAAAACCATAAACAATGCAGTTGTTGTACAAGCAGATATTCACTCCAGTTCAAGTGGTACAGGAAGCGGATCAGAGGAATCTATATCCGTTTCTATTCAATCGAGTATGAAATTATCTAAAACAAACAACTTTCGAAGTCAAAGTTTTAATCTTCACACTAAATGTAACAACGAAAGTAGCAGCTATGATCAAGATCTCAGCGCCAGCTCCAGCACAAAAATCATCAGCAGTGATAATAAAAAAATGAATGCCAATTCAGCTTCTGAAATCAATTATAATAAAATCAACAATAATAATATTAAAATTGATAAACAAAATCAAGTAGCTAATCAACCTAAAACGAATTATTTAAACAATGACAAGCTGAGACCAGAAAGTTCACATGACCATGATTACGAGGATATATATTTAGTTCGTGAGGAGGCGCGAAAAAACAAAAGTAAATACGGTTCTGGGCGATCACGTTCCCGTGATAGTGGGTCTCATTCACGTTCAGCTAGCACTTCCTCAACTCGAAGCTCAGATTTTATACTGCAATACAGCAATCATGTAAGTAATCAAAAATAGGAAAACTTTTCTAATTTAATTTAAGAACAATAGTAGCTTTACATGACATACTCCTCGTTTATCATTCCTTAGCCCCTTGGTTGGTTTATAGTGCCTATCGAATTAGCGTCCTAATTTCACTGTTTATTTTAGAGAGGTTTTACGTTAATCCATCCATATTAAATTAGTTTAGTTTCATAAACTTATTTTAAAAAAATTTATTTGAATTTTAGAATATGAACAGCAAGCATCAAAGTGAGCGTTTGAATCGAAATAAATCACAATCGACTATAGGAATACATAGCAAACCCAAATACGAGTTATCACAAAAAGAAAGTTTTACCGTTAAAAATGTCAATCTAAAGAACCTGCTCAACGCTAGTAGCAATATCAATTGTGGTGTTAAAAGCGACACATATGAAAGTGTGTGTCCAATAGAAGATATTGCTGAGCGTACCAAGCAATCACAGAAAAACTCCGTTATTCGAAATAATCTTGATTGCAGTAGCATTGGGAGCACCAATAATATATTCCACCCAATATGCAATGATGGCAACACATGCGATCGCCAGTTAAAACGAGTTTCATCTGCTCCGCCTATACAAAAAATAGAAATCGGTATGTTTCACAAATGCAAATATATGTACATTCATACATATGTTCATGTATACATACTAACTGAAGTACAAAGTTATGCAAATACATAAATTTTCGGATTATTTCAGTAAGTGGACCTCCGCCTCCTCCACTGCCGCCGCCGATGAACTCACTTTTACACAAAAGAATCCAATTAGTTACATCAGATCCCATGAACTTTAGTAACTCAAATAGTAACTTGGATAATATAGATTCCGATTCAGGACTTGAGGTAATTGAGGAACCAAGTTTGCGCCCATCTGAGTTGATCAGAAGCAAACACAACCGAACAATGTCTACAATATCAGGTGAGATGCAAATATTTTCATCAAGATATACCGTCTTTGGTAGCAAATAAGCTCAGGTAATCGTAGTTATCATTTCAAATCAAATATTGACAATCAACTCATCTCTAGATATGTATTTTGATCAATATGTGTGCTGTAAAGAGGAGAAGAAGCTGGTTTTATTTATGAAATTCAAAGCTAACTGAACAAAATTTTACTAACATAAATTGTATGTTCTTAATTAAATAAGTTAGTATTATGTATATATATAAAATCTTTAGTTAGTATACCTAAATATGAATGCAAATATATTCATAAATATCGTGTAACATCCCAAATTTGAAAATTGACGGCCACAAAGGTCATATGTATATGCACATTTGTATATGTATCTTCCAATACTAAATTGCAATTTAAATGGGAATTTTGAATACTTGACGATCAAAAGTTGTACACCGGATCCGCTGGTTCAGTAACTTTCCTTATTTTTCACTCCAAATTTGCACATTAACCATTTTCACATATACATTATTAACTTCAAACATGTAGTGATGAACATCTTTAACCATGTAAGTGCTATGTACCAGTATATAACCAAGACAAGTAAAAAGATGCCAATGAAAGTGAATGTGGGGTTGCGCAGCTTGGTAATAGACAGTAGTATTTTAACAACATATCCCAACAAACAAAACATCTATGGTTAAAACGTGTCATGTTGCACAAAATATTTGTAGATGGCAGTTAGGAGAATAATATTTCCCTACACAAGTTATGATTACTTTCCTAACTACTTGGACAGTCCCACTCTCAAAATGGTATTAGTTAACAGAAAAAGTTTAAATAATTTTGCGAATTTAACAGATTTAAGTGAAAGCCTATTTATCCTTCCCATTAGATTCAGTTACTTGGGTATCTCTTGATTTCAATGTGAATGAACGTACATTCATATAATACGTAGACATGTATATATTGCATTTTTATGTCAATGTATTGGTTAACACTCAAACGACATTAATAATGATCATAGTCACTATGTGTGCCCACTTTAGTAACAACCAGTAGGATATATTTTAGTTGCGTTGATTCCATCCTCTGAACCGCTACACAAAATACTTGACCACCGCACGGTCAATTCCACACGACACGACATAACTTCATACTATTATTTGTAAAACTTTACGTTAATGCTTTTTAAAGCATTAAACTAACAGCGAACATATGTTAGGTCAAAAGAAATTCTCTCGACGAAATTATTTCACGTTGCGTTTTTCCCATTTTGACATATTTAATATTCGTTGTAAGTATAATGTGATGTGTTGGGAGATAAAATGCGTTTCTAAACGTATTAGAATTACTGAATGCATTATACATATGTACATAACAATTACGATATCCAAAAGTTTGTGTCTTATACCATATTTGTGGAAATATATAACAAAATTACACGAAATTTGCAACTAAATATAATCTTCAATCAAGATCAACATGGCTCCAGTACAAATGTCTACAAATTCAACGATGATGAGACGGATAATTGTAATTCAAGGGATTGTACTTGAACATTACTATGAAAATGATTAATACAAATATTTATCAAAGAAAAAAACTATTATTTATTTTTTGAATTTGGAACACATTTTTATATTTTGATATCCTAGAAATACGTACATACTACATACATATATACTTATATATATATATATATATATTTTTTTTTTTAATGGTTTGAACTTTTAACGTGAGATATGATTATATAAGTATTTAAGTTGGATCAAACTGAACACAGTGTTTTATTAAAATCGGTAAATTAGTTTAGGCTATAACCACGTAAGCGGTGTCAGTAAAGAAAAATAATTAGTTTAGGAGTTTACCCCGGACAAAACGGGACACGTCGTCCAACTCATCGTTTGATTTTTTGCCAACTATCTCCATTAATTTCATTTTATAGTGAATCCAGATGATTTGGTAGACTTTTAGGAAGCATTCGTACCAGCCTTGTTTGGATGTCCACTAAAGCCATTATATCCGAAGTACATATAACCTGTTTTAAATGATCCCATTTTGGTATCAGCTGCATATTTTTTCATTAACTACTTTGGCATTTTTGAAAAGTTACGTTATCCAAAATCCTAGTTTTCTGGACATATTTTTCGAGTACATAGCAATGACAGAAAACTTTGTTTTCAAAAAAACTTGTTCGAATACATACATTAAAATAGTTTCATAAACTATTCAGTTGCATTTATTGTAAAGACGATGAATACATCAAACTTCATATGTACACAAATTATACATACGCATGCATACATATGTACATATACATAATACTTATATATTATGTACGTTTTACATATCCATTGTTAATTCTTATTATTATTTTACAGCAAACAAGAAAGCAAAACTTCTTAATAGCAGTTATAATGGGAATATACAAAGCTCTGCGTCACTTGCAACTATTAGTTGTGTTACACCTAGCAGAGAAAAATTTACCTGTGACAGTTATCACGTTTGCAATGATCAGAAAGATGAGAGAATTCAGGTGCAAAATTACCATTCAAATCGCGTAGATGCTCACCAACATCCATTACCCCAAAGCTATCAGCAATCTCAAATGTATGGATCTTCCGCCGAAAATCATTACGAATTACAACAAACACAGTATGGGTACAGCAATTCAAATGGGAATATAGTAAGTGGCACACGTCCCGGTGGTCCAAACTTAGTTAATAAACAGTTAGTACTTCCCTTCGTGCCACCCAGTTTTCCAAACAATTCACAAGATGGCGTAACACATCTTATAAAGCCTTCTGAATATCTAAAAAGTATAAGTGATAAACGATCATGCCCTTCTTCAGCCAGGTGAGTGTGCTTATTTGATTATATATATACATTGATGATATTTACTTTACACTAAATTAGCATTTATATATAATTAACCGATTTTCCACATAATATATAGACAATATATAATAAATATTTGTACATACTTATTTATTTGGAAAAATATACAAGGGGTGCTACTTAGTATGTATAATATATACAAATAGACAGAGTAGTAACGTACAAACATTGCTTTAAAACTGAATGCTCTTACTCACTTCAAATTTTCAACGAATACCGCAAATGAATTAGTGCATTCAATTTGCAAAAATATCCACTTCGCCTTGCTAATCGCGTGCCGCATGAGAGAACGTAGCGTCTGCTAAATTGAATGGTCCATTTCACCAAAGCATTTATTTATGCATTGGCGTGTGTATTCATAATTTATGCGAATTTTCCTAAAAAGTTATTTTAATGTTCAAATGAAGTTATTAGTTCTTCAGTTCAGTAGTAAAAACGATGATATTACGAACGCATCCAAGTAGGCATCGGTTAGTTAAGTTCTCCAAGTTTATTGTTTGAACAAAATCAAATATTAAAACATCTCTTACCAGCATATGTATAATACATCTATACATGTATTCTCATTTAGATCCACAGATACTGAAGATTATATGCATATTCAAGTGGCTAATCAGCACGGAGTTAACTTCGACCCTCCAAAGCCTCCTCCTCCGCCTCCACTCCCAACTCATCCATTAATGCATCACAATGAAAAGCAAAACAATATAAAAACAGGAAACATTAATCATGTATCCGTGGTTAATCAGGACACTGCCACACGTAAGCAACATCAACCCCTATCCGCCATCTCCATTCAAGATCTTAACAGCGTTCAGGTAAACCTTATTTAATACATAAGTATGTGTTTTGTGTAATTTTACATTTATTTATGTGGAATTTCACAGCTTCGTCGTACTGATACCCAAAAAATACCCAAGCCGTATCAAATGCCAGCACGCAGTCTAAGTATGCAGTGCCTTACCACGTCAGGTGATTCTTACCTTAAAACGGATTTAATTGCTGAATTGAAGATATCAAAAGACATTACGGGCATTAAAAAAATGAAAGTAGAGAAACAGTTGGCCGGTCAGTTCGATATTGAACATTATTCCGAAATTTCGAAACAATTTTCGACAAACAATTATATGGATCAAGTAAGGACATAAAGCGACATTGTGTATTAACTTGACAGGTATTTAATTTGCAACCAAAGCTTTATATGCAGATTCCAGAAAAAGATCAGTCTAGTAATATCATTCCGGGTTGGAAACGTCAGATGATGGCGAAAAAGGCAGCCGAACGAGCCAAGAAGGAATTCGAAGAACGAATGGCTAAGGAAGCAGAAAACAGGCGCCTCTCACAAATACCTCAATGGAAACGTGATCTACTAGCCAGACGAGAGGAAACCGAAAATAAAATAAAGTATATGCATAATAAATTTTGTTTTCAAAATACTGCTAAACTGTCGCACGAACATATGTATATATTCGCATTTTTCCAGAGCATCAATTTATACACCCAAGGTGGARGAAAATAATCGTATAGCTGAAACTTGGCAACTTAAGAATCGAGCAATTTCAATTGATAACATTAATTTGGTTTTTCCGAGCGTTGATACCCTTCCAATTGCTTCCGGAACTTTTGACAATAATAACAAGGAAAACAAGGAACAAAATGAACAAGCTGCGATCATAAATATTCCAGTATCAGATGATGATAACAATAGTAATCAATATAACAAAGGAGATGAAGCAGATAACATCATACCATGGCGAGCCCAGTTACGAAAAACCAATAGCAGGCTAAGTTTAATTTAAGAATGAAAATTTCTTAACCCTTATTCAGATTTACGTAATTGTGAATTTAAACTAACTACTTGAGAATTTCATCCTTGCTGTTTACAGTTTATATGAGTACGTATATATATTTGCATCAACAGAACAATTATTTACTCCTTAACAAAATAGTATATGGAATAGTTGACTTCGAAAACGCCAAATGGGCAAAACCAAACTTGGTAGCATTGCAGGTAGTAGTTGTACCACTATGTGAGATATGCAAATACTCTCTCATATAAATTAAAAATATATCAAATACTTTGTTGTTGCTTTTACATGTCAAATTTTTAACATAACGTGTAGATCAATGCCGAATCGGACATAGGTGAATAAAATATATGCATATGTGTGTCTCGAACAGTTGAGTAAGAACAATCCTACATTTACCAATCAAAAATACATTTTGGCTTGGAAAATGCGTTTTCAATTAAATTAATTAAGATTTTCGATAAATTAGTAATTTTAACATAGGATGAGCCGCAAACGGCGTTGTCAATAAATTTAGTATACATACATTGTATATATAAAGAAAGATAAATAATTTTAAACAACGACATCAACATCGGTGTATTTACTATCATTATATAATAAAGCTGCTGGAAAAATATAAATTCACATACATATTTTTGTAATATACATACTTTTTGTGTTTACGCACATTTACATATTCTTAATTTATTATATTATGCCTAACTATAATTTACAATAAAAATAAATTTGATTAACTTGTATTAATATTAAATGATCAATATCTGTGAATTTTGTATTCAACAATAATTTGTTTGCACCAAGGCTGAGGTATACAGCGGAGAAGGAAAAGAGGAAACCCAGAAGAATTATTATTATTGGTTATATTTTCTGAAATTGCAAATAGCTGGGAATATAATAGCATAGGTTGAAGTATGAGGCTATGTGTCAAACGGTAATAAATATATCCTTAAATTGGGCCTATTTAAGAATTTACACGTGCACAAAAATTGTGTAAATTTCACCTTTTGTTCAAAATAAGAGATTAAAGTTCTCAGATTTTAAAGTTATTTAATGAAATGCTTATTTAGAGATACATATATCTAATCTCTCGGTCTGTTAGAGGTTTTAAGAATTGTTTAATGTTTTCTTGTTTAATAATTACATCTTACGGTTAATTTTAAAGACGAAAGAAATAATCCCAACCTCTTACTCCTTTTGCTCTTTAATCACCTTTATTTACGTCTGAGAGATGTAAATAAATTTACAAAGGGAAGATAAAGGGAGGATAACAAAAAGCCGACAATGAAAATCTCGAAATTTAAAATTCCGAGAATCAAATAACCGACAAATCAAAATACCGAAAAAATTAAAATCAATTTCCCTTGGGACACATTTAAAATACCGAAGTTCAAAAAGCGAAAGGCATGTGAAAAATATTTTATCGTGTCCTTACTTTGTGAACAGCAAATAGTTAACTCGCCTCTATCGAAGCAAAGAAAGAGAGTTCTACTGATTAAGGGTTATGATCTTGAGCGTGTTCGTGGCTAAAGGCCACAGGTCCTCGAACGTACAACATCACCTTTCATAAAATACACATAGTCTTGGTTTTTTTGTTTTTTTTTGTCTTGAATTCTTCTTCTTTTTTACTGTCGTAGACACTTCTTACGCTGTTAGAGCCAAGTTAACAACAGCGCGCCAGTCGCTTCTTCTTTTCGCAAGGAGGCGCCGATTGGAGACTCCATGACAAGGTAGGTACCAAAGGGGGAAATTTCTCGATGTGTACTGTGTAGAATACTTTTAGAGCTGGAGGGTTTTCGTCCATTCGGACGACATGAGGTAGCCAGCATAGCTGCTGTCTTTTAATTCGCTAAACTTCCATCGAATATTTTATTCGCTGTGGGCAATGCGCAAAGGACCATAAATCGTCCGTGGAACCTTTCCCTAAAAAGCTCGGCAGGCAACCCACTGCCACTATGCTGTTCTTTGGATGTACAATTGCTATTCGAACTTCTTCATAGTCGGGACATGGAACATCTGCTCCATCGTCATCGATTGGAGAATTGGGTTAGCCATCTTTTGGTGTTATGCTTTCGCTACAATTTAGCAGACTCAAGAAATATTCTCTCCATAATTTCAGTATGCTCTGGGCATCAGTCACTAGATCACCTCTGTGGTTATACAAGAGTATGCTTCTGTTTTGAAACCTTCTGTTAGGCGCCGCATCTTTTCAAGTATTATCCAAGTCGGCCAGCATGTCAAGATTTTCATACTCACATTTCGGCCTCTCTCTTTTTGATCTGCAAATTTCAACTCTCGGTCTCTGTCCCATCCCGCACGTGTTGTGGTCAATTGTGACTTTGCGAGATAGGCAGTCTGTTTTCTCTTCACTGCTACAGGGTGCCAGCTGTTCTTTTGCCATTTTCAAAAAAGAATGATTTCGTTTGCAGCTGTACGTAAGGAGCCGAGTAGGAGGAGTAAATGCCGACTGCACAGAGGCGGGTACGTATCTTGGCTGCAACAAGATAGTGGTCCGAATGGATGTTAGGGCTTCAGAGCGTACGCACGCCTAAAACACTTGAGACGTGTTTCGTTCTGGAGACAATCAGGTAGGATGATGAACATTTTTATACTGGTACCTAATACTACAGTTAACCATATTTCGGACCTCAGCGAAGTAGATCAGCCTCAACGCATTTGGGGATGTTTCACTGAGGAGGCTGAATTTATCAACAGTTGTGCCAAAGATACCTTGTTTTCCCACCCTGGCGTTAAAGTCGCCAAGCACGATTTGGACATCATAAGGGGGCAGCTTTCATAGGTGCACTCCAAACGCTCATAGAAGGCATTTTTGGTCACATCGTCCTTCTCTTCCGTCGGGGCGTGTGCGCAAATGTACGATATGTTGAAGAACATCGCTTTTATGCGGATTGTGGCTAAACGTTCATCCACCGGAGTAAATGCCAGAACTAATCGCCTCAATCCTTGCCCCGTCAATCGCAGTTCTTTGACGGCGGTGATGTCAGCTTTTACTCTAACGAGGACATCAATCAGATGGGCAGCAGCACCTACCCAACTAAGGGTACCACTTCAGTGGTAGTTTTTTCACGTGGAGGGTCTCAAACCTTTACCCATGTAATATGATGCATCAAAAGTGCCACTTTTACCGAAAGTTATAAAAAATTGTTTTAAAAACATTCAAACTGCAAATTAAGTTATATTTGTTTGTTTCCATATGCTTATGAAATATACTTATGCAAGTTTTGAAATGATATCATTAAACATCACTTTAATAAATAAATTTGAAGGTTAACCGTTTTTATTAAAGGTATTCAGTAGTTTAAGTTTATAAAAGTAATCTTATACAAAGTAAATCAAAACTTAATCTGTGCACACCTTAGTGTTAACTAACGCCAATATTAGTTTCCTATGCTTTGCAAAATTAGAATTTTATTCAAACTTTTAAGTTTTATTTTATTTCTTTTTTGCGCACTGCCTGACCATCTTTCAAAAATAAACGGTCGGTTAAGTTTATCTTCCAATTCAGCCCAAATACTAAGCATTCAGTTTTATCAGAACTATCTGAAGAGGCATCCCTTGGAGTCGGCAATAGCATTAGCCCTCGTAATTTCTGTGGTTTTTCTAATAGCTATTGCTATCAACTATCAAATCTATTGCCATTAACGCTCTGAACACATAGAGCGCGACAGACAGACAGGAAATACACACGTTCTTATGGGCACACTTATTGAAACAACTGTACAACTACATAACTGTGTCCGTAAAAACTTGTGTATTGTAATATTGGACAGATGTCGCTTGCTTGTGTTCATGAGGGTTGCAAAACTTTTGTGTTGGCATTTGCAAACAGACGCCGACCAGGCAATATTTTATAAGTGGAACGAAAAAAAAGAAAATCTACTATTCCAAACAAACGAGTTTTTGGAAAAGAATTAGTTCTTATTTTATATGGTTTAAAAGGATAAGCATACATATGTATGTGTGTACATATGCTAAATATTATAATTAAAATGTTAACAAAACTTATTCATTCATACATATGTATTTAATTACTACTTTCCATATGTTTTTATTTTGAGTCTTTATCTTCTCAATTTACGCAACACAATTTGAAAACACCGGACTCTGGGACCATATGACGAAAACATTGATGCATCGACTATAAGCGTATCACATCTGGATATCGACCATCACTAGTTCATTATAGAAGTTGACGGCGATTGAGTTATATCTATTATAGTCGTGAAAGAATTGATCTAAAAGCTTATAAAAGCACTAAATATATATGTAAGAAATTTATTTTTACCTATTTATTCTATAAACCTACCTAAAGATTTAGCTTCAAGTGGTGTTAAAAGTTATGCATTGAAAAAATAACTAATGAGTCAATCGGCGTTTTCGATGTTGTACATACATATGCATGTGTATATGGAAGCTTCATTGTAGTATTCTTGGATAAAATGGAATGATTACAGATAGATAAAAACGAATTGTATGTAATATGGGGAATATTTTTTCGATGTGTATCGATGTGTATCCAGCAGTTTAGTATGAGAGAGTTTGCTTATGGATCGATACATAGCTATATACCAGTAGTCGGCTTGAGAGGATCTGTCACTGTGTTAGTGAGCACGAAACAAAAGTAGCCCCGTGAGAAGTTAGAAATAAAATTAAGCAAAATTATCAAAAACTCCATCGGAAAACGGACTACCCTGCCTAACAATCTCCAAACTAATGGAACTTGATAGCTGTGTTTTTAGGTTTTCGTTAATACGTTCACCATAATCTAAGTATTCGTTTTTACGTAACCAATCAGATATTTTTTGCAAAAAAATATTTTTTTTTCTTTAAAAATACATTTTTGTTCTTTTTCATCTAAATAATTAATAGTATAATGAAAATTAACAAAATGTCTTTTAAGGATATAATCCCTATTATCTATAAAGACTTGGAACATAAAAGGCATTGCATGGTACCAAAGGCATTTAGAATCATAAAGTATTTCTCGC